TGAAACATTTCATTTAGAATGGCAACAGAAAGAAAATGTATCTAGCGATTAAACAGTTAATAAATGCAGTCTCACTAGTAAGCATATATAGAATCAATAGGGAAGTAAACTGGATCTTTTAAAGGAAGAGTAAGGCAAGTTTATAAATTTCATTCTTTTCCAATAACAATTTAGCTTATACTAAATTATTTTGCATTTATTTTCTAATTAAATTATATCAGTGGGTTTTTTGTTTTGTTTTTGTTTTTTACCACTTTCTTGGGTAAGGAGATCTTTGGAGGAGGGGTATATGAAACAGAACATTTAAACGACTCTTTAGGACAGTAATCAAATTCTTCCATGATTTTTTATTTGTTACTAGAGGTATATTTACCCATCAACACACAGACACCAGAAAAGGAACCAGTGAAACCAGTCAGTTTCAACTTAGAGGCTGAATACTGACTGGAAAGTTTTGTTGTTGCATTTAATCTTTATAAGTGATTAAGCATCAGATAAAGCCAAGATCTTATGACTGAATTGTACCTGGGGGGTTTCTCATTTACTTAAATCTTAATGAAATTCGGTTGCTCTGTGGGAAAGAGACTCACTGTTGCTTAAATATATTGAGTAGAAATCTCTCAAAGATTTGTAAGGAATTATGTTAATGAAACAAGGATATTTAACAATATTTCTACAATATGAGCCTTATTAGAGTCCTAAAAACCACTCCATACCATTCATCTCAACAAATTTAGCAAAAGCATGTATTGTTAGTGTATCCTGATTATTTCCTAAGTGTTTTCTTATATAAATGGCACCAATTCAGAATTAAAACATATTTTCCTATTTTGTTTAATGTTTAGTCCTGGATTTTTTTTTTATTTTAAAACATTTTTTACTGCTGAGTATTCAAGTATTACTTTTTTCTGTATAATCATTACTGTATTAACTTGGAAAGAACAGATTACTGTTTGCAGTGTGATACATTAATAAAGTTTTTAGCTCTGGCAATTTGATACTTTGATGTTTTCTTCTTTTACAAACCTATTTCAAAGGCCAGAGCAACCATTACATGTGCTAGAAGCTAGATGAAAGGTTTGCTACTTAAGATTTTAACAGTCCATCACTTAATGGGAAGCCACTCATTAATTTTTTAACTTATTATTTATTTTAGACATTCTTTTCTTTTTTAAATTTTGAGTTTCAACTTCTTTCCTTCCCTTCTGCTTTCCTCCCGGTAGTACCCACTGAGAAGACAAGCAATATGATATCAATTGTACATGCACTCACTAATTTTCTACAGTAGGACCCTTGAAACAGATCTGTTTTGTTAAGTGAAATGAGGGTCTATTCATGTAGTGTGTGAGGGAATATCTTGATGTGTTGTTTTAGTATTTGCCAGTTCGTGTTATTAGCTATGTAACTAATAATCCAGAAGTGGGATGCACTGTATTGGGAGCAAATGGGTCGCCCTTCCTTGAAGCTATTTGAGCAGAGGCGGAATGAAGCGGAATGACCACCATAAATAGTGTGCTGTAATGGGGATTCTTTTTCTGTTATGGTTTGGAGCAGGTGTCTACTGAGTTCCTAACTGAAATTCTTCAATATTATTAAGACTTGCTAAGATGCAACATTTTTAGTGAAAAGAATCTTTAAGCAAGTGAGTGAAAGAGCAGTTACCTAAATTGAGGCATTGTGCTCAGAGGTCACCTTGTAAAAAGAGGCAGAAGAAGGCCATGTATAAACATTCCATAGAGTGGCATGGCATTCCATTGTTGTGCCCAGTTGTTCCTTTTCACAGTTTGCATGGTGTGCTTCTTTGGAGCTGGGAGAGAAGAGCCATTTACTTCCTTTGCAACCTCAGTTTCTCCTATGCAGGCAGCAAAAACTTTATTCCTTTCTGATTTTTGAGGCAACACAAGTCCAGCAGAACTGAGATTGTGTCAAAGCCGTTGTGTGTCCAGAGCTGGTTAAATACAAAAGTACTGAGAAAACATAAAAATTACATTGAGGAGCTTTTTCCTATTTGTGAGCTGCTAGTTGGCCATGGACCTGACACTTAGAATTTTGTGCGGCATGTAAATTAATATAATTTCTCAAGATGTTCAGAGAAACACTGGCAAGTATAAATCTCACTTAAAAAAAAAACAAATTGGGCAGCTTGATTTGGACATTGTTAAGGTTGATGGATAACATTTAGAAGATAATTATTTGGTCCTTGCAATATTGCATTGATACTGTAATATCCTTTCTCCAAATGCACTTTGTACAGTTCTCATTATGAGAAGCTCAGGCAGTGTTTACACCTTCTCTGTGGTCCAATGGATAATGTGTAGCTAAGTCTTCCTTACCTAGGTAATTTCCAGTTATGGAAGGCTGTACTGACTTCCCTGCTTCCATGGCAAAGAAAAATAAGTTCTATAGACACTGGTTTCCTACTTCTGTCAAATTCCAATAAAACGAGTAATATTTTGCTTGGCAGAAGTTAGATGTTCTATATGTGCTACAAAATATTGTTCCTGTTTTGATATATATTGTACTCTTGTTCTCTAGTTAGAGCATTCCTTTAGATTTAAGATTAATGCTGGTATTTGACATTAGTGTGTAAAACATACCACATTAATCAAATTGTCCACAACTTTTGATTTTACTTTCCTAGGATCTGTTCTTCAATTATGTTTACTTAAATTGTTTGTTTTAGACGGGATGAATATTTGACAAATCATATCATGGCATTAGAAATATTTATTCAGAATATAAGAACATTTGTAAAATAAGTATTATAAATGTCTCTGTATAAATAAATGCAGATTTTTTTTTTTTTTTTACAATTCTATATTAACACAACAGCTATTATACAGCAGCTAAAACTAAGGTAATTGGAAACACTTAAAACATACAAATGAAGAATCAAAAATTACAAGGTATAGTACAGCATAAAGTGACAACTTGTAAATGAAACACTTAATACAACTGAACAATACTGACAAATCCAAACAGTCACATGTGCTTTAATAACATAGACAATACATTCAAGCTGGTGTAAATTTTCTAACAATTCTAATTTGAGTGATATAAAAGTAGAACATTTTTTAAAAAAAGAACAGGAAAACTAAGCTTTCATGCAAAGCAAATAAAATAGTTTTATTAGGAATAGATAAGTGAATTCGTTTCACTGACTGTATTAGTAAGACTGATAAGAGGTTTTGCTTTGTGAGTCACTCAATGAAAATTAAATGAATTTTGTATATTCCAGCTAATAGCGTATCATTACAACAGTTGCTGCCACTGTAGCAACTCTAGATTTGTCTACATGCACTCCAGTTAATATTCAGAGGACTTACGGACCTATAGCTTGTTCTGTTCTGCTGAGCTGCTATTTTAAGATGATTGGTTATTCATGGTAACAAAGGCCCTTGTTAATGCTTGCCAAATGCATCAAGTTGTTTCATTGGTAAGAGAATGGAACACCCCCGACTGATGGCCAAATTTCATTACTTTCTGGTTATAAAATCTCACTATTTCACAACCATTAACTTATATATATATATATTTAATCCAGAGGGTCAGTTTTCAGAGAGAACACTTTACTTAGCGTACCAGCACATAGGAGCATTTATTTTATATATGTATAAACACATATAACAGAAGGGTGATGAACAAACAAGAAAGTCTAAATGGGAGTTTATCTAAAATTGTCAGTTAAATGTAGAGATTGATATTTGTGGTATTAAACATAAATAATTATAGAATAATGTTGCCGTAAATTAACTTAAGTTTTAATATGTAGGGAGAACACTTGACACTTTTAAGACAACTTTTCAGCACACAGGTGTACTTTAAGAAAAGAAATACTTTTAAAAATAAGTCACCAGGTAAATAAAGACATTTTTGGCAATAAACACTTCTCTTTATTTCATAGCAAAAAAAAAAAAAAAACCAAAAAACAAAACCCTAAACAATGGCTAACTCCTGTGATTATTAGACAATATTTGCAAATCTCAGTGTAAAGTGTCAATCAGTTCTTTTCTTAATTGATGTGTGTAAATGAATTTTTTTTTTTAGGTTCCTCACAGTAAAAAAAGGGAAAAAATGGTTACTGTGTAAAGGAATCATCTTTTCCAGCAATGCTATCTGAAAAACTCTCAGCTACCTGAGAAAATCATAAAAAACACTGTTTATGTGTCCCTGTGGAGTTTGAAAACTTCCACCTGCCCAAAACATTCCCCCCTCCCTTAAGTAAAAGAATTAACTCAGTAATTAAGTAACTCAGTTTAAAAAAAAAAAAGGTAACCCAGTTACTGTGGCAAGGATGAACCAGCTGGACTTTAGGAATAATTATAAGATAATTTTTTGTATCCTTCAGGGAATTACTGTAAGTAAGGTATTGTAAAACAGTTCCTAGGATATGGGGCTACCCTGAAGTACTCTTTCTAAAAAAAATGTGGGACAGCTTTTTATTTAGGAAAAGCAGTTAATCTGGCTGCAGCCAGGAAAAATCAGGATAGTTTCAAACAGTTCAGGTTTGCTTGTTTTTAAAAATATTTACCATATTCCCTTAATAGCTTTGGAGAAAGGAGGGCTCTAAATTGAGGTTGAGTTTACTGGGTCTCACCAGAGAGTCCTGTTCATTAAGCCTCTATATGCCCAGGTTATGGACATACACAGGGTATGTGAAAGAAGAATTAAACCAATATATTCAATTGGCACCAAATCTGATGCAGAACAGATGAGTTAGTTAACTGGTATTATTGTCTACCATCAAACATGCAGCAAAGAGCTACAGCCTGGCACCTAATGATTTAGGCACGTGAATACTGGTAAAAGATTTGTAAATATATACCTTTTTATGTAAATCTTTTGTTCCCTGAAAGGCTCTTTTATTGGAATACATGCCAGTTTATGAGGACAACAAGTATTAAAGGCTATTAAAATCTAGTATACTTAAGGTCTTAATAGTACATCAAAACCAATCCAAGGGTACAGAACCAAACTCTTGTGGTGTTCTTGTGTTATAGTTTTTTTTTTTCCAAACAGGACAAATAAAATTAGGCATCTCTTCTCTTAACCATTCCAGTTATAAAAGGCTAGTCTAGGGAAAAAAACAATTAAGGCTTGAGGATTATTAACTTTAGGGTCAAAGGAAAAATCTTTTCTTGATGTACTTTTTGGCCTCTGGGTTCCCAGGCGGCTAAGACGGGCTGATTTGCAGTGATAGAATGAAATCCCTGGGCTTGTGTCTCTCCACTGCACTCCCCTCCCTCTTAACACCCTCTTTACCCATCACTAGAAAAGAATAAAAAAGGTACCTGACTATATTCAGTGTCTAGCCCATGGAAACATTTGTTATAGCAATGCCCTAACAAAATAAGAAATATGCTTCCCCACCTCACCCTGGTGAAAATAGTAAAAGAAGGGGCAGGGCAGCTTACTTTAAACATAAAATTCAGGGAGGAAAAAAAAAACCATGTATTTTATTTTATTTTGTTTTTGGAGGGTGGGGAGAGGCTCTAAAGTTTTACACACCTTGATAACAGTGAATTAGAACTATAATAATGACACAATGATTTATCTGATAGATATTAGCTGGAACCTGGAAAAACAGAAATAAAGGTCTCTGGTCAAATAACTGTCACAGAATCCTATAACTGGAAGGTACCATAGACTACTGTCTTCACCCTATTGTTTATACCCTACCCAAACCAGAGATAATCCTTTAAAACATAATGTTATGCTTAATTTAAAAAAAATCAAAGTGGGCCTAGTTTATTATACAAAAGACTTTAGCACCAATTTTCATGAATATTTGGAATCAGTGTTTGAGAAAATCTAACCACGAAAGAGGCAGCGTGGCAAGGGAAAGCTTTGAGGCAGAAAGAGGTAGGTTCCATTCCTACCTCTGACACATACTGGCTATGTCTGAACATGGGCAAGTAAGTTATCCTTTTTGTGCCCTAGACACTGACTAAGATGCAGACAGAGGAATTGCTGGTCTGTATCAATGAAGCAACTTTTCACAAAACTGAAAGCACAAGTCTGGACCACTGCCCGAAATAAAAAAATAAAAAATATATATTTAAATGAACTGTCAAAGTTCTAGCTTTGGCTGGGGGTTACTCTTTTCAAGTATTTGGAAAGTAAAGGGAAAGAAAAATTATCCCTTTTGTGCTCTACTTCCTTAGACAACTGTGAAAGCAACACTATTCCATTTTTCCCTGGAAGAAGTTTCTCACCCAGTACATTAAGTGGTATGCATGTCTTTAGTGTATATTTACAAAGGGGCAGTTAAAATGCTGGGCCTGATGTAAGTTAGGAAAACCTGAGTTCAAATCTAGCCTCAGACATTTTCTAACTATTTGATCTGGGTAATTAATATAATTTCTGTTTGCCTCAGTTTCCATCTGCACAGCTGTTGTGAGGATAAAATATTAGTAAAGCACTTTGTAAAACTTTAAAGCACTACATGAATTCTAGCTATTATTATTAATGAGAATAGGAAGGACTTAATGTTGGTTTGCATTACCAAATGAGTAATCAACTAGTAGTTTTTTGGGGAACAAATGGCTCAATGTGGTCAATAACTTCAGTACTTTATGATGTAGTAGAAAAAAGCAAGGTTTAAGGCCTGGCTTTGCTACTTACCTTAAGCATGCCATTTTACTTGCATTTCTGCACAAAAATAAGATACTTGGATTAGAGATCTCTGAGGTGCTTTCTAGCTCTGACAGTCTTGTAAGACTGAGTCTTCCAGCTCTTATTATTTTTGTAGAGAAAACAAGAGCTGGTCCCTCCCTGTTTTTGATCTTAGATACAAGCTCATGGGCACAGTATCCCTTTAAATGAAACAAATACATTTCTTCTTATTTCTATATATTTCCTGAAAGCTCCCTGAGGGCATAGGCTGTCTTATTTCATTCTGTCTGGTCCCTAGCAATTAGTATAATGCAACCAAATGAATATTTGTTCAAATGAATTATTCCTCTATAGCTAGGATCCTCAATCTTTTTCATTCGGTATAAATCCTTTGTTTTTTCATAACAGGGTGAACTACAGACCAATTTCAGCTTCTGCTCCCTACCTAGTCATTCACTATTTACATGCACTTCAGTTTATAGTACAAAAAACTTCATAAATAGCTTTGGATGGCATCTCATAAATTGCCATTACAGGATTAGCTATTAGCTAATTTGAGATTGGGCCTTTAAAAAATCACTATATCCCAGACACAAATTAAATTTGAAAATGTCAGTGAAGGAGGACTAATCAGAAAAAATGAGATTAAGATGGTAGAAAGGTTAAGCATTCAAAACGTTTATTAAGCATCTACTGTATGTAAGATGGGAGTAGAAAACTCTCAATAGGAAAAACCAAAACAAAATAATTCCAAATTTAACCTAAGAGAAAACCTCCTAAGAAGTATGTGGGCAACTATGCATCTCTTTTAGCCCCATAAACTCTTCATCTGAGCCCTTCCTACCGGTTCTAGTCACTGTCTGCTAATCTCCACTTTCCCTGACTGAAGAGGCCACAAGCCATGCTCTTGTTCACAAGTATAATGGGAAAATATGGAGAAAAGTGCCTTGGATTTGGGGATTCCACCTTCTACAACAAGAACTGCCTCCTTTAGCACAGCTCTGCCAAAATGTATTTAATCCAACATATACCCAGAGCTATGAGTATATATATTTAATGTTTTGGGAAAGTGCAGAGATGCCTTTTTTGAGGAATCCACAAAAATACAACATTTTGCTTACACTGTAGTGTCCAAGAGACTTATTTTATATATATATATATATATATATATATATATTTTTGGTGGCAAGGAGGGGTGAGGTGGGAGCTCAAATCCCAAATTCACAAAGGGAGGTTTCACACAGGCCTCCCTTCTCAACCCCAGGGGCTAGCAGGACAGATGTTAAATTTCTATTGTTTCCAGATTATATTGTTCCACTAAAGAACCTGGCCTTGTTGTTTGTGAGTGACACACGTTCTGAATGACACGAGACATGTTGACAACTCTGTTTCAGCTTCAGAGATATGAAAGGCAACTTAGGTGAGACCCTCTGGAGTTGTAAAATAAACCTCAAATGTGAAGGACAGCCAGAGAACTGCAGCCTTCATCTCAATAAGCACCTCTATAAGCACCACTTGGGCACCTGAGACCATAACATACACCTGCCCCATATTATGTCAGGACTTAACCTCACGTTAGGTGGAAAGCTAAGGGAACTGGAGTTGCCAGGTGGAAAAAAAAGCGGGCCCACTGCCTGGGCAAAAAGAGGGAAGACATTGAAATTACTGAAAAACAAATAATTCAGTTGATATAGTATCTCCAAGACTGCTAAAGGTGTTTTTGTTTGTTTGTTTTTGCCGGTGGGTAGGGTGGGAGTGATAAGAGGGAAAGCTGAAAACCAATCTGTTGGGAGTCAATCACCTGTGAAGTATGGAAGGCCAGGGTACCCTGAACATAAGAAACGTGTATTTATCATTGACAGTTTTTCCTTTGGACCTTGGTGTGAGGTGCATTCCCTTTAAGCACAGTACATATGTGGCCAACCACCATTGTCTTTGGGAAGCTCTCCAAGAGGACCCGACAAGACCATGCCCTTAGGTAGAGGTCAACTTGACAGATACTGCCCCTACCTGCAAGCCTTCCTTTGGTAGATCCCGGAAGGTACGTTTAACTCTTCTGGTCCTTCTCTCCAGATTAGCTTCTGTGGGCAGAATTTTGGTTCCCAAAAGCCTTTTAAAGTGAGGTCTCATTGGTGTGGGGCCTTGAGTTTTCTTCCTCCAGCAGAGCTATTCTCTGCTTGAGCATCCTCACTTGGGTTTCATGTCTCTCCACCATGGCCATCATCTGAGACTCCAGCTTCTTCAGTTTATTTTGGTGCTTCTTCTTTGCTTTCTCATATGCAGCCACCAAGTTACTATGGAAGAATGAAAAGAAGTTGGTATGAAGACCACCTAGCTAAAAGTAGTATTGGGTGAGGTAAGTTAAAAGTGCATAATTAGCCTAGGGCAACAGACCTGAAAGAAAGCAGGGCAGAGGGGCTAGGAAAGGGACTGGACCTGTGGTTTCATTGCTATAGGAAACTCCCATCACCAATGCAGGTAGTGTCCATTTCTGCAACTTAAAGTCTTAGAGAGCTACCTACAGCACTGAGAGGTTAAATGACTTGTTCAGAGTCACACAGGTGACATGTTATCAGAGGCAGGACTGAATAATGGTCTTCTTGGCTCTGACACCAGCTTCTATCCACTAACCCTGCTGTCCATCTGTAGGGCAAGTTAAAGAGAATCTAACTAAACTGCCCTAAAAGACTCATATCAAATCAGTATAAAAAAAACTGATTAAAAATGACCAATTAAAAGTGTATACAAAAATACATGAGTATCTATATTATCTATCCAGAGAGAGAATTCTCCATTTGTGTCTTGATGCTCCCTATGAGCAACACAAATTTGATCTTCCCTGAACAGATAATACTCAGAAATATGGCATGTGGATTTTTATAATTAAAATTCTGTTCTCCATCATTCCATCATTTCAATTACTCCAGTAGTACTGTAAGTGATATTAGCAATCTGAAGTGACAGAAGAGGCCAAAACAGTTATGGAAAGCTGAAAAGGTGGCAAAATTAGAAATTGGGGGGTTAGGGTGGGGTAGAGATAGAGCCACCTTTTTATCCCCCCTTAATGATTCATAGTAGTTCGCTCCAGCAAAAGACAGATTGAAACAAACAGAAAAGATTGTTCCCAGGAAAGTTATAGTTGGTTCACTTAACAAAACAGGCTCACTCCTGGTCTAGGAGGAGATAGGATCTAATATCCATATTATGGATCTAGTGACAGAAAGGGCCTTAGAGGTCATTTAGTCATTTTACAGATGAATAAACAGGCCACAGAGGTGAAATGATTTGCCCAAAGTCACAGAAGGTAGTAAATAGCAGGGCTGGGATTAAAACTCAATCCCTCTGGTTTTCCTTCTACCATACCCTGCCTCCTAGGATTTGTACCCAAGTTATCCTTTTTTCGCTCTAAAACTCAAAGTGGTTCTTGAACATGGACCATTTAGATAGACACTAAAGGCTACAAAACATGGAATGAGCATTCTGGGGCCAACCTCACCTTGCTTTTCACCTTTGGAACATTTGCCACCAGCTAAAACCTGAGGGTAAAAAGGCATAGAAAAACCCCTTCTCAGGAAGAGGCATGTCCATTTGAGTGGAGAGCCCAGATCTTGGAGCAGTATCTACTAAACCAGCCTCCTGGGGTAGGACAATGTTCTATATAATTTCATACAATTCTTTGTATATTGACGAAAGTGAAAATACAGGAAGGAGTACAGCTGGCAGCCTGTAAGGAAATAAACTGAGGTTTTGTGAGTTTTTACCTGTTAGCTCTTTTCAGATCATTAACAAACTCAGCAGACTGCTGGTGTCGGATTTCACTACTCTTTGTCAGTCTTTCCAAGGCACTCACCAGCTCCTGTACTCTGGCCTTCAGTTTCTTCTCCCTGTGTCAGAGGAAAAGGCATTGAGGGGCCTGATGATGGTAAGTGTGATTACTATACGAGCATCAGAAGCACAGGATAAGGTAGGGTATAGTTCACCTGTGAGGGCATATAATAATGATCTCCCCTCCTCCCCAGAATATTTTCATGCTTTACTACCTGTTTCTATTCCAGACAAGAGTCACAGAAATGAACAGGAATAACAGTGACTTTAGCCTAGGCTAACATGGCACACCTGTTTATTAGGCTCTCCTGGTTATTGGCCCAGCTGACTGTTTAATGACAAAAAGACTCAACAATGTTTTGAGAATCACAGGAAAGGCAAGACGGTCTGGACCAGGAATGTAGTTTATCTTCTAGAGACTGCATCTGTTTTTACCCAGTAATTACTAAAAAGGGAAGGCCAACTAATCTCCACTGTCAGCTCTGCACTAAACCTAGTTTATGGGAAATAACAGATGTCTCCATAAGAGAGGAACATGGAACAACTGTGGGTGTCATGCAAAAGGGAGAAGAGATGGCAAAAACAGGTTTGCAAGGTGCTTCCCACACAACATTTTATATGCTCCTTACAACAACCCTGTGAATTAAATATCAGAGGTATTAATCTCATTTTTATAGATAAGGAAACCAAGGCTCAAAGAGGTTAAATTAACTTGCTTGTGCTAATACAGCTAGCAGGTGGGAGTGGCAAGATTCAACACTGGCACTTCCCAGGAAACTACCACTACACCTCTCTCCTCTTTTCCTCATGTTGACCCCTTGTTGAACCAGTTCAACTCTGTGCTGTCCTCCTCTCTTGAATCCCTAACCTCCTTATCATTTCACTGGTTATGCCTAGCCAAGCCTCAGCCTTGGATCACTCCCACAATTTGTCGCTTTCGCTCTTACACACGTGCTGCTAAACCAAGTTGGAGAAAAATCACACAACTGTTCTGATTGGGTCCACTGCAAATTTCTGTTACAGGACCCTAACTAGGCCCTCACTGCTCTAAGGCATTCCTTCCACAGTGACTCTTTGAAACTTTTTCATTGTTCCTCAAACCTCCCATATGGGCAGCTAGGTAGTATAGTGGATAAAGTGGTGGGCCTGGAATCAGGAAGACTCATCTTCCTGAATTCAAATTTGGCTCAGACACTTACTAGCTGCCTGATCCTGGACAAGTCACTTAACTCTGTTTGCCTCAGTTTCCTTATCTGTAAATAAACTGGAGAAGGAAATGACAAACCACTCCAGTATCTTTGCCAAGATAAACCCCAAATGGGGTCACAAAGAGTTGAATAAAACTAAAAATGACATAGTGATGTTATTTTGAGCATGAAGGACAACAACATCTTTGAATTAAATATCCCTTTGTATGAGCTAATCCAATGTTAAGTGGTTAAACTGGAGTGTTAGCCTCTGATCCCCCTAAAATAAATGGAATACAGCTTCTGGAGGCTTGAGCTTATGATAGAGGAAAGAAATCTCTTCAACACTTTAAGAGTGCTGGAGAATTCTGTAACAGGTCTGGCCCTGAGAGAATGAGACTATATAAAACTACGTTACAAAAGGAAAGGGATTATAGTTTGTAAATGAGGAATTAGTAAATTTGAATTTAAATTTTTTTTAATTTTTAATTTTAATTTCAAAAATTTAAATTTAAAAAAATTAGTAAATTAGTAAATTCAATTCCTGGGAAAATTCCAGAATAGATCATTAGAGAGATAGTGAATGTCTATAAAGGAAAAGGTTATTATAAGCATAACTTCACCAAGATCAGAAGTAGCAGGTACAGAATTGATGATGATGATGATAATGATGATGATGATGATGAAGAAGAGTGCTTTATTTTTATAGAGCTTTAAAGTTTGCAAAGTGCTTTACAAATATTATTTCATATTATCCTTACAATAACCCTTGGAGATAGGTGTTACTACCTATCTCCTTTACATACCAGAATGTTAAAGGACATTTCCAGGGTGAATCAAATTATGTAACCCTTTGCTCTTGAAATTAAATTTGCTCTGGGAAGCTCATCAGAATGATCTCAAAACTTTGTAGTCAGCCCTGATAACTTCAAGTGACGAGGTTATGAGGCTTGGCTTGGGGACAAACAATATAAAACTACTTGTAAAAATCCTTATACATACATTAGGAATCTCCTAATGGCTTTTTAGATTTGACAAGATCCCATCTCATGGCGAGCAACTCCATCAGGTTCTATATGTATATCTATGGGATTGAGGGGAGACCAAGGAATTTGCACAACAGCCAGCTACTGAAACATAGTGCTATTTAATGCAGTGCAGATGATAGGATCATAGATGAAAAGCTAGAAGGGACCTGAGTCACCATCTACTCAAACCCATTAATTTTACAGATGAGTATACTGAAGCCCTGTGATGCTAAATCAATTGCCTAAGGTCACAAAGGCAGTAAATAGCAGAGGAAAGATTTGAACCCAGGTCTTAATGACTCCAAAGGAAGTGCTGTATTTTCTGTACTCTGCTGCCTCCTTATCAATTGCATAAATGCCATGCTTATCAAATTGTATATGACACAAAACTGGGAGGAATAGCTAACACTGGATGACAGGATCCAAAACATGTTATCTTGATAGACTTTACAGTATGACAGCTAAATCTAATGAGATGAAATTCAATAGAGAAAAACTAAACTCTTATTGGGTTCAAAAAGTCAACATTACAAATACAAGATAGGGGCAGAGGGAAGCTTAACTAGATAATTTGAAAAAGATCTGGGGATTTTAGTGGACTGAAATCTCAAAGTGAGTCAGCAGTGAGGTGGGCCAAGGCAAAAAAGGTAATGCAGTCTGGGGCTGCATTAAGACAGTCATATTGTAGTTGCCAAGATGTTTTAGACAACATTTGGAATACTGTATTTAGGTCTAGATGCAAGTTTAGGAAAGTTGTGGATAAGCTGGAGAACATCCAGAGGAGGACACTCAGAATTGTGAAGGGTCTGGAGTACATGCCATATGAAGACTAGATGTTTAGTTTGGGGAAAAAAAAAATTAAAGAGGGTTGAAACACGATGCTATCTATTTGAACAAAGGTTGGACTTATCTGGCCATGGAAGCAAGGAGTGGAGGTTGCAAAGAGACAAATTTAGGCTTTATGTCAGGGGAAAAAAAATCTTAAATATTACAGCTATCCAGAAGTAGAAGGAGCTTCCTTAGTAACCGTCTGTTGCAAACCATAACTAAAAAGAATCCTTAATCTTGTTTGATATGAGTTGTCATAGATGGCTGCTGAGTTTTCTTCTAACTCTAACATTCTAACTCAAACAACATGCCCATGATCACACATACAACAAGTTCTAAGCTGGGGATTTGAATGCCAATTTCCTGCTAAGTATAGTACCCATTCCACTATGCCACAATGCCTCAAAGTTTACAAAGCAATTTCTTCATTACAATTCTATGATGTATTATTATTCCTGTTTTAGAGATAAGGAAACTGACTGAGGCTTGGAGAAATGACTAGCAGTGGGATCCTATGTAAGTTAAGAGTCAGAGCCAGGATTTGAACTTAAATCTCCTGGTTATGACGAGGTGTCATTTTTCTATATTACAAAAAGTTTGCAGATGACAGTACAATAATTTGGTGATTGTTTTACTATCATGCTAGGATTGATATTTTTGGGTGGCATACTGTGGTTTGTCACAGGGTACTTCTCAGAGCCTTGGGTTCCTCACTGTGCCAGATATATCTTCTGGTTACAAAATGGGGCTTATTCATAACAAAGAGAGGACAAGCAGTCTTTTTGTGAGCACAGTGCAGAAGAATCTGTTGGTTGTGCATTGGTCTTAAACCTATAGAGAACAACTTTCTCGGCATAGCCACTGTTGGGGACACTATACACCAATATAACAGACTTTTAGCTTGCTTAGCTTGCTTTATCCAGCACCTAGTAGACCACTACATACAAATGGGTCATTGCTCAATTACCATCATGGGTTTATGATATTTTCCTAATGATAAGTACTTTGGATTTTCTCAAAATCTCATAAGAGAGAAAAGCCTGGAACTAGACAGAAGGAAATCTTAGATATCTAATTCAATTACTATCTTGGAGAAAATAAGATAATCATCCAGTTGACAACTCTTGAGATTGTTGGGTAATGGTAGTACAGGCTAAGTCATAACTGGTTAACCTAGATAGGCATGGTAAGGTATAGCTGAGAATACATACATTTGTATTGGAGAGGATAACAAAAGAGCAGAACACGCTAGTACCAAAAAGTTTTGATTCATTTACTCAAACATTCAAAAAACATTTATTGAGCACCTACAATATATAAGACACAGTGCGAGGTGGCTATAAAAGCGAATACAATAATCCTTGCCCTGATGAGATTATCTAGCAATCTAGCAAAGAAGATCTACAAAATTTTCTACAGTGGAAGATGCTAAGTACCATTAGAATTTAGGGAATAGAAATTTCATTTCTGGCTGAGGTTATCAAGAAAGACTTGTGTAAAAAGTGTAGTGAAGAAGAAAAAGCACTGGGTTTGGAATAAGAAGACCCTCATTCAAACCACAGCAATCCTACTACTAGACAAGTAAGTCTAAGACAGCAGCAAAGGGTCTAACATATGCCAAAATACTCATATTTTGTTGGAGCAAAGAACTAAAAGCACACTGGGGAAAAGGTGAAAAATTACAAAATATGAAATGTAATGAAATAATATTGTACAATAATGAATTCAAAGAAATGGGTAGTGAACTGTAGGAACTATAGGAACTCAGTTCAAATAAGCAGAACCAAAAATATAGAAATATAGGAATGAAAAGGTAACTGGAACAAAGAACTGAAAAGCTGAAAAAAAGCAATGATGTTTCTGGGAAAAAAACATAATAAAATAGACCTTTGTCCTCACAACAGAGATATGGGGGTCTGTAAGGACAGAATATCAAATACCTCCTGAGCAAGGTCTCTGTATTGAATGGTTTTGTTTGTTTTCCTTTGTCACAGGGAGGGTTCAGAGAGGAGGAAATTGAGTTACTATGATTATCAAAATATGAAAAATGTATTAAAATAAAAGTAAGAGAGTAGGGTTTGGGGTTGGAGATAATTCAAGCAGAAGAGGGTTTTATGGTAGAGTATCACAAAACAGAGATAGATTTATCATCTATGCAATAGCATAAAGTATAGGAATCTGAACTTTTTGGAGGCTAAGGGGCAAGTTCACATTTGTACTGTTCCTTGTCTAGCTAAGTACATATAAGATAAACACACACATATCTATCTGTCTAGCTAGCTAGCTAACTAGCTATGAAAAGGGAGGTAATGCATGAGGGAAGGCATTAGCAGTAGGGGTGGGTTGGTGGAGAAAGGCCTCTTGCAGAAAGTAAGATTTGAGCTGAGACTTCAGAGAGACCAGGGAAGCAAGGAGGAATGGGTGAGGAGGGAGAGCATTGCCGGTATGCAGGACAGAAAACAAGAGTTTTTTCATTGGTATAGCTTCCTATTCTTCCAGAGCAGAGGAGGAGCACAGATGCCAGTTATTAATCAAAAAAGAAAAAAAAGTTAATCTTTGTCCCTCTGGTAGCCTGGAATTTTGGTAAAAGCATGTTAAAAAGACATGGGACATTAGGACCCAAGATATCTCGCATATATGCAATTCCACAAATGTGTGGCACACTGCAGAAGGAAAAGTCCTGGCTGCAGAGTATAAAAAAGCAGGTATTCTTGCACACAACTGAATCAGTGTTGGAGAAGTAGTGTAGACTTAAGTACAATCTGTCAACAAGTTTAGCTCTGAATTCTAGCATATTTCATATTAGGACCAGGTAACAATGGGTAGATGTGAAGTCATTTGTGAGGGTACCAAGTCAGTCTTGTTACCATGCAGAAGGGTCTTTTTCCTGTCCTGATCCTGTCTCAATAGTACAGCAGGCAAAGCAATGCCATCCTGGATACCTAAGCCAATCCACTGATAACCAATCTGGTGTTGGCATTTTGATTACTATTTCATGAGTCTGCCCTTTAATGGGGAGTATTTTCAGATACAGGGGCTGATCTAGGAACATTTTCACTGGCACACCTGCCTCCATAAACCAATAGGTTTATACTTACCACTTGGTTGACAGATACAAAGTTACATTCTTGGAGTACAAATTCCCAACTCTCCAAACAGATGCTGGCCCTGGTGCATACGTTACTCACATGAATTTATATGAGTTTAGGCTCATACTCACCAAAGGATAATCTGTCAGCAAACTGAGGATCAGAAAGACTCTAGAAGCACAAGACCACCCCAGATGAGCTATCTGACCTTGGGTAAGCAACTTAGCTTTTCAAAGCTAGTTTCTCCATTTATATAACAAAAGATATGCTATTCCTACCTATGCCTCAGAAATGCAGAAAAGATCAATTAAAATTTATTTATTGTTTTGAGATCCTAGGAATGTACTCTGTAAGTACAAGGATATATTCTATCCAATAAAAATGCATTTAAAAAAATCTCTTTTGTGACTTTTGTGTTCATGTTGTAGCACATCAAATAACCACAGGATTTTATTTAGGTCAAAGAAAGAGGTAGCACAGACATTAGAGCAGGAACTCAAGAGTTTGGAACAAACAAACAAACAAAAAACAAAACCCTGCTGAATCTAAACACTCTAACAACACATGTCTAGAAATCTGATAATCCACATGGACCTTAATAGTAACTCTAGAAAAAACAGAATGACAACAGATGGCAGTTCCGCTTTATATGTGTAATCTCAGAAGTTTTGGTTTTAATCTAATCAAGTACCATTCCAGACAGTATCAGAAAAGTCAGTAGAGAAAATAGTTTAAAAAAAAAAAAACCAAACTACTACAGGAAGAAGGTCTGAACAATCTGGCCTTGACTGACGCTGAAGCTTCAGGAAGACAGGAGGATGCTGTTGATCTTGAGGGTGAGTCTTACCCAAAACTGGAACAATCTGATTAGCCATAGTCCCTACCAAAACTAAGTGTAGGACACATCAGAGAGCCAAGAGTAAAGAGGGGTTTTAGAAATTACTTAGTTTAAACCCTCATTTTACAGATACAGAAGCTGCAGCCCAGTGAAGGAGGGTAGCAAACCCTGATTGTCTGGCTTCCAATTTAGTGTTTCTTCCTCAACACAACATTACCCGACCTCAGGTAATTTTTTTTTAATCTAACTAATTTGAAGATTTTTGTCCTGACCTAAATATCTTTCCTTTTGGATTATAAGATGTCCTAATTCAGATCTGTGGGGATAGAAAATTACCAACTTCCCCCAGCAATTTTTTTCTTTTTCTTTTTTTCTTTTCCTTTTTTAAAGGGGATGGGATGGAGAGATTTGGCCCTGTGTTTTCATTGGTCTAGGAAACTTCCAGCAAACAAACCTCTTCTACCAATGCAGATTAGCAACTGTTCTTCAAACTACAGACTTGGATGATGGTCTGAGACACTGAGAAGTTAACTGATTTGCCCAGGTTTTTCTGAACCCAACACTGGCTCTCTCCGCTATGCAACACTGCTTCTAAACTAGAAACAAGATTGATAGCTAGCATTTATACAATACTTTAAAATTTTCAAAGTACTTTATGAATATTACCTCATTTTAACCTCAGACAACCCTGGAAAATAGGTGTTATTGTTATATCGATTTTATAGATGAGGAAACAGACACACACAGGTTAAGTGACTTGCCCAGGTTCATACAGCTAGTGAATATCTAAGGCTGGTTTTGAACTCAGATCTTCCTCACTTCAGATCTGGACCTCTATCCACTTTGCCAGCTACCTGCCTATTAATGTTCCCCATGAATGGTATTTATAAAAGTAAGAGTTGTTCGTTGATTAGAGAGAGTCTGAATAAATTATACCACATATTATATAAGGGACTATTATTACATTATAAGCCATGACAAATAGGAAGAACAGAAAGAAGTATAATCTTATATGAAGGTGCATTATGAAGAACTGGAGCAATGATATCATTGATAACAACAATGTTAAAAATTAATGACAGCAAAAAGTCTAAAAATACACATAACAAAAAGATCAGAAGGGGACAAAGATGTTCCCATTATCATTTTTTATGGTTAATATACACTTTAAAAAAACTGTTCAAAACATCGTATATAAAGAGAACACTGAGGAGGAATGAGACTTGGGTCAAAAACAATATTCAATATCCATGCCATATTATCAAAGTTGAAGGAAGAATCCTTTCTTTGCATTAACAACTGAAGCCACAAAAGTGTAAGATGACAGGTATTATTAGTAATCAGACTCTTTTTTTACTAAGTGCATGTACCTGTAGGGGACTTGCTTGGGTGTTTGTAGGGAAGTTTCTGTTGCGTCAAAACAAGATCTATCTGTAAAATTTCTAATTGGTTTGGAGTTTATGGCTTTAGGTATAATCTTTCTTCTTGTTTTACTTGTTCATTTAGATGTTTGTTTCTATGGATGGCTTAAAGCTTCTATTTTTAAAATTATCTGCAAAGCAAATATAAAGCAATGCAGGATTAAACTCTATCTCTGCTGTGATTTAATATATTTTTCTTACACTTTTCCAGCTTATGAAAACAAATAAAAGGACAAAACTGAAAACAAAACAAAACAAAACCAGTTCTCAGGTTTTTCTGCCATATTTATTCTAAACATATCTATTTCAGTCACAGTATAATTACACAAGTTTCTTTCTCTCTTTCTCTTGTTCTGCTAGATCTTTTTTGGTTCCAGATTTCCTGGCACTTTAATGAGAAATTCATGCTAACTGATTTAAGACAGTTCACTGAAATACATAGTAACAAAAAGAAAAAATGGCTCCTGTTATGTTTATGATATGCAAATCCTGCATTTCATGCCTATTTCATCTCTGCCAGAAAAGGCCTGTGGTATTTGGGAGATTTGAAAAATCAGGGGCTTACAAGACAAGCTAAATGGCTCACTTGGAACCAGTTGGTGGATTCTGATCTCATTTCTCCAGCATGTAGCAATTACTCCTTGCAGGGAAATCAATAGGATATATAGTTGGCTTTTTCCTCTCTCAGAAAAGTAATTATAATTGTTAACTATATAGTCACAGAAGCTGGTAGCGACAACAAAAACTCCCCATCTAGGATAACTTGGAATAAAAGGAAAAAAATAAATGGGGATTGGAACAAAAAGTAGGAGAAATCTCCATCATAGCAACAATCACTGCTCAGATTCTTTAGAAGACAGACACACTTTTTTTTCTTTTTGAAAGGCCCAGCATTAAAGTGCTTCATGCTTTTTCAACATTATTTTCAATTTCCTCTCCATAAAGATTCACTTTTTCAAAGTAGAAAAGTCGATGGAAAAATGGTCAAGTAGGCTCCAGATATACCACCCTATGAGAAGAGCCCAAATGATCCAGAAAAAGCTGGTTGATTAGTTGGTAAAACCCAAGATGAAATTTGATTCTAATAGAATAAGCCATTGTTCTGGTGTGCTGAGAAGGATTACCTACCGTCGCAGTGCATTGGTAACTTCTGCCGCCAAATCATTCTCGCTAAACGTTGTCCTCAGCTCAGATAGTGATAGCACAGATGAGGCTCCATCCATACACTCCTGAAAACAATACAACTGGCTGTTAAATATAACTTGGGGACTGTCTTAGAAACTTGAACCTGCTTTGCGGCAGAGCAAACACAAATGAAGTAGTAAAAAATGCAACTGTCATGTTGAAAGCCGTCTTCATCTTAAGAAGACAAATGCAGAGTGAAATAAGTAGAATCAGAGAACACAATTTAACAAATTAACAAAATTCAACAAAACAATTTATACAGTAACAACAACATTGTAAAGACAAATGACTTCAAAGACTTAGTAACTAGTCTAACAAGATGATCAACCAGCATTTCAAAGCACTCGTGGGGAAACATGCTAATACTCTCCCGATAAGTGATGGACTCAAGATGCAGACTGAGATATTTATGTATGTACATATGTATATAAACACACATATATACCACATGTATTTTGGACTCGACTAATAGTGGAATGTGTTTTACTTGAGTATACCTATTTATAGGGATAGTTTTGCTTTCCTTTCTCAGTTGGAGGTGGGGAGGTGGGTCAAAAGCAAAAGCATATTTGATGAAAAAATTTTTTTTAAATACTGATTTTGAAGACAGGATGCCTACAGTCATTTTAAGAATAGGTCTTCCAGAAGAACTCAAAAAATATGAACACAATAATGCAAAAAAATAATACAAGAAAATTGCCCAGGACTTCTGAACACAAAAAATAGTGTTAATCAAAAGAATCTACAGATTGCCTCCAGGAAAAAAAAAGCCTAAGCTATAAACTCCAACACATATATTGATTAAATTTAACTATTCTAATGACAAATAACAAGTTTTACAAATCACTAGGAGAAAGATTTCAAAATATGAAGGAAAGGAGATCTGAATACACATGTCTATTCCGCACCCATCAGATATAGCTGAAGAGAATGGAATAATGTATTCCAAAGAGCAAAGCAGCTCAAGATATATCCCAAGGTGACATCCCTTCAAATCTAAGCCTTATCATCAAGGGAAAAATGATGGACATTCAATAAAAGAGGGGTATCTGAGGCATTTTTAATAAAGAAAACTCAACAAAAACAGGTAAAAGATTGTTCACTTTTCAAAGACCCCAGAAAACAAATGCAAGACAAAAAAATAAAGCTACTAAGGAAACTGCAAACGGTTAAATTACATATATATATATACACACACACATACACACATTTATGAAATTATATACATGTATATACAAATATACATATATATGAAAAAATAGAAAGAGTATGACACTTTTGAGGATAAAAACAAGGACAATAACAGATAAATGGAGGGAACATTGATGGGTTTCTTTCCTAAAGTACACAAAGAGATAAAGATGAAAGCAGAACTTCTATAAATAGAAGTGATAGTGGAGTCACAGGCCTGATACAGCATGGACTGAACCTCATGATGCTTTGCCTCCCAGTGAACCAGTCTTTTGTGGGACTACACTGCAGAATTTGTCGGGCATGAAAGGGAAAAGGGGAGAAAAAAGGTAAGAGAGGAATGTAAAATGTATCCTATTCAAGTAAATGGTAAATAATGAACAGAAAATACTCCTATAGTATTTTAGGAAGAAAAAGGGATAGGAGAAAATTGGTAAAGTGGCAAAATTAGAGGTTGAAACAGGCAGAAAGAAAGGGGGAAATGTTAATCTAGTGGTGAAAGAAGTTCTACTGAAGAACTCTCCCATGTGGGGAGAGAAGTATTTCACAATGAGAGCTAGGGACTTTACCATGTGTGTAATTTGCAGGGATTTTCTGCTCAGAGAGACCACTACCTCTGAGACAGTGTTGTACCTCCATGGACAGCATCCTGCCTCAGGAGATGAGAAATCATAACTCTGGCAGTGGGGGGGGGGGGGGGGAGGGAAGTGGCATACAAAAGGGAGGAAAGTCATGGAATCAGAGAGATTATTTCATGGTAAATAGGAAAAACAATTATAATAAAGTAGGAGATAGTATTCTCTATCTCCTCCAAGAATTGATACTTCTAAGAGTAAACCCAACAGGAAAAAAAAAAAGCAGCAGCAAGATCATCAAGGCAACAAAATAGAAATCTTTTTGAAAAGAAAAAAACTGCCCATTAGATATATTTCAAGAAATCATTAAAAACAATTGCACAGACCTTTTAAAACCAGAGAGAAGTGACAATAGAAAGAATAGTTATCTCACTGAAATAAATCTCAAAATGAAATCCAGAAATGTCATAGCCAAAATCTAGAGCTTCCAAGTAAATGAAAAGGTACTGCAAATAGCCATAAAAAAAGAGTTTAAGCACTAAAGAACCACAGTCAGCATCATAAAAGATTTAGCAGCTATAGCTATTGAGGAGTGGAGAGCTTGGACTATTCAAAAAGGCAAAAGATACAGGCTTACAACAAGAATAATTCACCCAGAAAAACTAGCAAAATGCTAAGCATTATTTCCTGAGAAAAATACAAGAAACGGATAGAAATTCTGAAGCACAAACATGGTAGTAAAGAGAAACATAAAAAGTAAATACAAGTAAGCAATTGAAAAAAGACTTTTAAAGCCTATTTGTAAAGACTTTGTATCCTTTAGAAAAGATATTTGCATCCTAATGGGAGTGATTGTGATATAAGCATCCCCTAAAAATTGTGATGTCAGCAGGGATCATAGAGGGAGTCAAATAAGATTGAGGGTCTGGGAGTGATTTTTACTATATTTTGATGATCTTAAGTGGAAAAAGAAAAAGGAAGGGGGAAAAGGTTTCGCTAGGGAAGAAAAGAAGAATGGGATACAGGGGATTTATTTCACATGATTAGGGATGAACATATAAGTCTATACAAATGGTAGGAGTATCATTTATACCTCATTTTGAACTGATACAGACTGTAGTGTACCATAAGTAGTTTATACAATAACTACCACATGGTAAAGACAAACCACTTTAAAAGACTTAAGAACTCTGATCAAAGAAATGATCAATCAATCAGAATTCCAGAAGGCTGATAAAGAAGAGGCTCCCTACACTTCCTGAAAGAGAAGTGATGGACACAGGGTACAAAATGAGACTTTTTGGGGACATGACCAATGTGGTAATTTGTTTTGCTTGACTACATGTATTTGTTACAAGGATTTTGTTTTTATTTTTTTAAATAAATTTTAATAATATCATTTGCTTTTATGTCACAAAAATTACCTTCAGTATTCTTCCCCCAATGTCCTCCCAGGTAACCATCCCAAATAACAAATAATTTTTTTTAAAAGAAGAGAAAAAAAATCAGCAAAATTGTTCAACTGAAAGAATCTGAAAATATATGTATTGTTCTACATATGTGGACTTCCTGCATGTATAAAGAAATAAGCATAAGAGCCCTAGGAGTGACAGTACCACCCAAACCACTGGTCCTATTTTCAGTCGAGTCCTTGCAGCCATCATGGAAACTTTTGTGTTTAAGGGGTCAGCCCTCCCCACCATATGCCACTCACAGAGCAAGCAGGATAGGCTAGTTAAAGCAGCAGGGCACTGGGAGAGAGAGACAGAACGCAGAATGTGCCAGGCAAGTCAGATCACTAATGTGACCACCATTTCTCCTCTAATGCAGACAGCTCAGGACCCTGAACCCAAGAGCCTTGGGAATAGCAGTGACCTGAAACCACTAGACTTGCTTCCAACAAAGCCCCTACAGCCCTCACTGTGGGAAGAAATTATTCTGCATAATTTTCTTTCTCCTTTCACCAGCATCAACTAATGACCAAGTGCTACCACCAGCCAGATAAGCCACAGGAGCCCTCAGAATAGCTGCACCTCTCAAAACAACACTCCTCCTTCCAGGCAAGCAATTCCTGTAGAAAGGGAGCCAGTCATTTCTACCTACTGCTAACCAACTGTCACTCACAGAACAGCAAGCCAGCCTAGCAGAAGCAGCAAGGCAATCTGAAGCAGGTAAGAGTCAGCATATGCCAGACAAGTCAAACCACCACCACCACCATCTTGACTATTACCCTCAGTCTCCAACAGAGACAGCCCAGCACCTTGAACCAAAGAGCCTTGGGAATAACAGTGCTTCTGATCCAAGTCAGGCAATCATCATCCCAGGAAGCAACCCTGTGGAGATGCAGTTTGGCAAATGTTCCTGCAGATGCTTTAGCTACATTTGTTGAAGACTCAGAAGCAAAAAAAAAGTTTTTGCCACCAAAGTCCTTGGTACTGTCAAATGGTTTAGCATTAGAAACTGATATGATTTTATCAGTAGAAATGATATAAAAGAAGTGAGGAAAATTATCTTTTCTGTTATATCAATAACCAACTATTAAACTGAGATCCAGGCTTTTCTTTTTCTATTTCCTTATTTAGGGCCCAGCCCCTGTAAGTCAGTCTGAGACTAGCTAGTCTCAGAAGGACAAGGCTGATAGATGAGACTGTCCAAATCCTCTGGGAACATGCTCCTTGATTAATCAACCTCAAATAGAGCCAGGGAGGGGAAAAGCAAAATGATTCTTTGAAAATATCACTTTTCTTCATTAATGACATGCTCACTCAATTTTTATCTCTATATTCTGCTATTTTGCTCTCACACTACTACCAAAAAAATCCTCTCACAAAATTCTTGCATAACTTATTTGATTATATAATATCAATAACTTTTATCACTGAAAACTAAGGATAATTTCACAACTTTCTGGTTACCTTTGTGTAACATTTATTATCTTTGTTATTGTTTGTTACATCTTTGTCTTTCAGCAGAAATAAATTGCAGTGAAAACAGGAACCTAGAAAATTCACCTTTAATTCAAACATCTTCTTAAGTTTTTTAAAATGACAACGTATTAGGGCATAAAACCTCAAAAAAGGAAAAATATGCTTATTGTCCACAATATAATAAAATTTATCCACTGGAGACAGGATTAAAAATTAATTTAGAAACTAAATAAATTAATCCTAAATAATCGGTGGGCCAATGAACAAATCATAGAAACAAAGAAAAGGACAACAATGAGAAAACACACATTTTTCAGAATGAATGAAGTCAGTGATGAAATGCTAGGGGAAAATCATCTCTCTCAAAAGTGTCATCAGAAAAAGAGAGAGAAAATGAATTGGGCACATAATTTTTTTTAAAAACCCAGAAAACTAAAAATTTAAAAATAAAAATCTTGAAAAGACAGAAAGAAACAGAATTAAAAGTAAAAACCTACTGAATTAATAAATAAAACTAAGATCTGTTTTTTGGGGGGAAGAAAAGAGCCAACAAACCAAATAAACCATTATTAGCTAATTTGATTAAAAGAGGAAAACTAAATTACCAGTATATCAAACATTAAAAAGTAAAATTCATAGCAACTGAAAATTAAATAAGGGAAATTAATAAACTATATTACTTAACAATATATCAAAACTGTTAATGAGAAAAATGGATAAATATTGATAAAAATATAAAATGCCTACATTAACAAAATAAAAAATGCAGAATTTAGATAACCCAATACCACAAAAAGAAACCAAACAAATCATAAATGAACTCCCAAAGACAATAACCCTGGGACCAGTTGGATTTATAACCAAATTCTACTAAATGTTCAAAGAATTATTAAGTCCTATACAGGGTGTCCTAAAATTCCTAGCACAATTTTAAGCTTTTTAGACATTTGGGACACCACGTGTTATATAAAATATTTACAAAAATAGAAACAAAAGGAATCCAACAAATTCTACAAAAGTCACTTTGATACCTAAGCCAAGAAGAGTAAAAAGATAAATAAAAATATTAACCAATATCACTCATAACTATTAACATAAACATATTAAATAAAATATTAGTGATGAGGTTACACCAACATGTCACAAAGCTTACACACACTATATAACCAAGTTGGATTTATATCAGGAATGAAGGTTTGGCTTGATATCAGGAAAAGTGGAGACATAATAGAACATGGTAACAATAATAATAATAATAATAATTTTAAAAATCACATGATTACTTATAAATAGGGAGGGAAAAGCTTTGACAGAATATAACATCCATTTATGTTAAGAATGCTAAAAATGGACCTTTCCTTTATATGCTAAGTAGCATCCAAAACCAAGAGCAATCATTATCAAAAATGGGGATAAACTAGAGATATTTCTTATAATATCAAGGAAAAAGCAAGGAAGTCCATAATCTCCACTAGTATCTGATATGGTGCTAGAAAAGTTAGTTATACCAATAGGAAATAGGCGGAATAAGCATGGGCAATTAGGAAACAAAATTATTACTTTCTGTAGATGATACAGTTTACTTAAAAAAAGCCGAGAGTTAATTAAAATTAAGCAAAATAATAACTTCAATAAAGTTGTAGAATAAAAAATAAATTCAAATAAATCATCATCATTTCTATATATTTCTAACAAACCCAGCAGGAACACATAAAAAAAAAATCCATTTAACTAAGTACAGAATGTAAAAAATATTTAGGTGTCTCTCTCTACCAAGTAACTAAATTTAGTTGCCATAGTAACTAAATGAATACAGCTACAAAATACTCTTTATGGAAATAAAGATACATTTAAGTAATTTTTAAAATATTAATTGCTTATGAAGACTGAGCCAATAATAGAAATGAAAATGCCATTTAAATGTTCTAATTCAGTGACATACCAATCAAACTACCAAAGGATTACTTCATTACTTCATTAAGATAAATAATGGGAAAAAAGAAGGCAAGAAAGAGGGGAGTCTAGCAGTTATTAGATCTCAAATGAGTAGGTTAGTGTTTGATAATCTCAAAGACCATAGTTATTGGTATAAGAACTTATCTGAGAAAAACTGCTGGGAAAGCTGGAAAACAGTCTCCAAGAAATTAAGTTTAGACTAATGACATATCAAGATAGCTCCAAATATATACATGACTTAAATGTAAAAGCCCACATCATAACTTAAAATATCAAAGAAGAAAATATCTGGAAGATTTCATGATCAAACAAATGACAGATGATCAAGATACAATGAACAATTCTGATGACATAAAATTAAAAAGTTTCACAAAAAAAGACCATTACAGCTAATATTAGAAAGGAAACAGTTAACTGGGGGAAAAATATTTGCAGATTTCTCTGATAAAAGTCTCAGTCCCACAATATATAAGGATCTGACTCAATTATATTATAATGACAGGCATTCCCCAATTAGATGACTAGTCAAAGCAGATGAACAAAAAAATCCTCAAAAGAAATCAAAGCTATCAATAACCCTTTAAACGAAAAATTTCTCCAAATCACTAATTATTACAGAAATTCTCATTAAAGCAACATTGAGATTTTACCTCATACTCATCAGATTGGTTAAAATGATTAAAAAAGGAAAATGCAAATGTTGGAGACGTTTTGGGAAAACAGGCACATTAATGCACTGTTTTGTAGCTGTCAGTTGATTCAGCTATGCTGAAAAACAATTTGGAGGTATGCCACAAAGTCATACTCTACCTACTTCCTGACCAAGAGGTGATGGACCCAAGATGAAAAATGAGACATAAAAATTTTGTACATGGCAAATGTGGGACTATGTTTTGCTTAAATATTGCCCCTTACCTCTACCCCTACGGTTGCGTAGAGGTGGGATGGAGAAAAAAGAAATGCTTGTTAATGAAAAAAAATTTAAAACAAATTTTTAAAAAATCACTCTTATTAAAGAAATCAGAATAAAAGGTAAAGTTTGCAAAATGCAGTGGGAGACAAAAATGTGTGAGGTAGGGGTGGTTTATGAGCCCCATTTTGAATCTTAACCTCTGAATGCATTCTATATCCTAGTAATAGTAGTGAAATGTGAATTACTTTTTTCTATCCTTCCCTTCCCCACTACACTACCCTTCCAGCTATCCACCCAGACCTATATGTCATTCAAGCTATGGACCAGCACCTTGCATTTCTTTACCTTGCCAGATTTTTCTTTGCTTCCACTGCTGGTGGAACTGAGTGACCTCATTTTTTGTTCCTTCTGTTCCTCCACCTCAGACTTGAGATGTTCAATATGCACCAAATATGCTTGTTCCTGGGCCTCTCGGGTACTCAGCTTCAGTTCAAGAGCTTTCTTCTCTTTCTCCAGTAGGTATAACTGGGCTTTCAGCTCAGCCATTTCCTCCTATATAACAAAACACATGGTTTGTTAATTCATAGAGAAAAATCACACAACCATTCTGATTCTACTACAAATTTATGTTACGCAATCTCAACTGGGCCCTCACTTTTGCTAGGCAATACTTCTGTATCTCCCTAATTAACTGTCTTTCTAAAGTGGCTCTTCCAGATCATTTCATCCCTCTTCAAATCCCATGGTATCTCCCCCTCTAACCCTCTCAGCTGAGAACTTTGACTCATATTTTACTGAAAAAACTGAGGCCATTCATCAAAAGATGTGTCTTTCTCCTTCCTCATCATGCCTTCTGTCACTGTCTCCTTCATTATTTCTGTCAAGTGGCCTTTCTCTTTGCTAAGGCAAATGCCTCTCTCTGCACGAGACCCCATTCCGTCCTGTCTCTTCTAGTAGACTGATGTCTCTATCATTCCCACTTTCTCATTATCTAGAATCTCCCCCATCTACGAATTGCTTCCTTACTCTCTACAAACATACACCTGTCTCCCCCACCCTCACAAAACTCTCACTTCATCTGACCATCCCTGCTAACTATAATCTCATGTCTTTTTAGGTTTTAGTGGCTACTTTAGAGGCCACATGGCCTCAGGTTCCCCACCCCTGGGCTAAACTCCTTGAGAAGGCCATTGGTGCCTCCAATTTCGCTCCTTTCATGCTCTTAACTCTCTACAATCTCATGTTCAACTATAGCATTCAAAGGAAACTGCTCTCTCCAAAGTTACCGATGATCATTTAATTGCAAATCCACGGGGTCTTTTTTCAAACATCATCCTTCTTGACTTATTTACAACTTTTGACACTGTCAATCACCCTCCTCTAAATGCTCTCTTCTTTCTAGGTTTTTGGGACACTAATCTTTCCTACTTTTTAAAAATTTATCTGACCAGTCCTTCTCAATCTCCTGCATTTAAATTTTATCTGTATCATACTCGTTAATCATGACTGTTCCCTAGGGTTCTGTCCCAGGTCAATTATCCTCTCCCTTCATACTATTTTACTTGGTGATCTCATCAGCTCTTTTATTAGTATTCATTCATATTCTTTCTATTATTCAATTGTCTCTATATTGATGATTCTCAAACCTACTTATCCAACCCTAACCTCTCTGCAAATCTCCAGTCCTGCATCTCCAACTTCCTTTCTGGAATTTCTCACTGGGTGTCCTCTACATGTCTGAAACACAACACGTCCAAAACTGAGCTCAATTCTTTCCCTCCAATCCATCTCCCCCCATACTTCCTTATTGCTGAGGTCTACCATCATCCTCCCAGTCCTCCAACCTCACAACATAGGCATCATCCTTGACTTTATGCTCTTTTTCAACCACCACATGTTGCCAGGGCTTTTGAGTTCACATTTGCAACACCTCTTGAATATGTTCTCTTCTCTCTTGATAACTACCATCACCCTGGTGCAGGCTCCTATCTCCTCATGCCTGGACTACTATAATATAGCCTGCTGGTTGGTTGGTCTTCCACAAGTCACTCTAGTCCACCCTCCATTAAGCCCCAAAGTGTTTTTCCTATAGCACTCAACAACTCCCAGTGGTTCCCTGTTACCTCCAGGATCAAATAACAAATCCTCTGTTTGGAGTTCAGAGCCCTTCATGACCTACACCCCTCCAACCTTTTTAGTCTTCTTAGATCTTACACCCCAACATTCCAAGGACTCTTTGGTCCACTGAAATGGGTCTCCTTGCTGTTTCTTGAACAAGACACTCTGTCTCTTGGCTCCAGTCATTTTCTTTGACTGTCTCCCATGTTTGGAATGTGTGAAATTGAAAAATGACAGGGCACAGTGTATAAGAGTTTTACTTCCCTATTCCTATGAGTTAAAGTCTGACCATAAAGACTTAAAATTGGGAACTTTTTGCTGACTGTGGAAGGCAGGAGAGAGGGAAAAAGAAGATGACACAACCTGGTCATATGATGTTTGCTTACTATGAGACTTGCCTGAGGTTGTTAGCCAACCCTATGTTTTTCCTGTTGCCATGGGTCTGGAAATCCCCTCTCTCAGTAAGCCCACCCTCTATCTCTCTGTCAGAATAATTACAGCCTTAGTTTAGTTCCCATCACTGGACTATTATGTAACCAACTGTATATAAGAACTGCTCTGACTGTCAGATGCATCCTTGAGCACTGAGGAGTCTTGAATTATTTTTTTATTAGCCTTGCTAATAAATTGATCATGCTTGGAGCTTTGTGCCTCAGTGTCTCCTTATCATGTCAGTTGGCAAGCCAGCCAGAAATTAGTTATGGGACCTCCACCCCAGGATGCCCTCTCCAAGGGGATTCCCTTCTTCCCTGAGAAGTCCTAGATGTCCCCCTAAGCTTTGAGTCAAATTTTCTCTGAGTCAAGGTAAGCTCACAAACCAGGAAAGTCTCTAGGGCACCAAGACAGTTATTGTACAAATAAAATTTAAATTGATAAAAAGAGTCTTAAAATTGATAGCGCTCACTAGATTTTTGGTAAAAATTTCAAAGAGAAAGCAAAAATTATAAAGAAAAAAGGTAAGGATTGAAGATAATTTCACAATACCAGCAATTTCCTCTTCACAGTGACAGCTGGTCAAATGTTTTAAGTGGCAGTGGGCCAAAGTAAAATAGCTTTTCAGTTGATAAAACAAGTGGCTAGTTAAATTCATTATGTTAAACTGGCTTTTCTAAAATGGCTCAGTCATAAAGAAGGAAGGCCTGCAGAAAATCTTTGTATTCTGAGCCTTGATTGGGATGAGTGAGGGATATCCCACGAGTCATTGCCCTCTTCCATGAGGGTGACACTTTAGAGTGAGTTGGCGCAACTTCCTAATAATTACTCTCCCTGAGTCACTTGTGATGGCTACTTTAGTATCCTTTTACAGGTGACAATGGGGGTCAGGTCCTAGGGACCCCACCTTGGGGAAAACTGCTTAAATCCTGATTTTAAAACAAGCTTTCCCCCTCCCCCTGCCCAGTTCAGCTGGGAATGAAGAAAGCACGTGTTATTCTGTTATACTTAGTAACCTGTAGTCTAAGACTGCTAGAGATTCAGTTGATGAATTATTTTCACCTAAATGTGACATTTTTTTGATTATTGCACATTAAAGAAACTAGGAATGGCCATTGAACAATCTCATCCAAAATAAACTACATGGTCTTGAGTAGCCCTGTCAGATGGCACATGCCCACTTCTGACTGTACCCTTCTCTTTTGCTCTTCTACCCTATTCCTCCTCCACTATGGTAAGAGATCTAACTTCTTTAAGATGAGAGGGACCAACCGTTGGTGGTTTTTCTCTCCACAAGACAGAAAATGGGCATAACTCTTGTCCAATATGATGGAAGAGATAAAGAAATGAGGGAACCTAAGCAGAAACCACAGGCAACCTTAGGCACTGCCCAAATATCTCTGGCTCCTATTTTAGCCTAGCCATGAAGCCTAATGGGTCATTTTACTAGAGATTGCATAAAGAAAAAGAGGGAATTTCAGAATAAGAATGAAAAATGGGATATTGGTAGAATCTAAACAGAAATTGATAGCATGCGAGTCCATCATTCAAGGGAAATGCCATATACTCCTGCAGGCTGAGGACTGCTACAGGTGGAAGTCTGTCTCTGGGGAAAGTTGAGAGGATTACCTTGTAAAGAGGAAGGTCTGATCTTTTTAACTTAGTTTCCCCATTTTCCCACCTAGGTATATCTGAGCCTGGCTGTAATACCCTCTGGCTCATGTTGTTCCATGAACAAGACACTACATCTCTTGGCTCTAGACTTTCCATTGTCTAGTACACTCTAAGGTCCAGGTAAAATTCCATCTTGTACAGGAAGTCTTTTTCAACCCTCTTAATTTCAGTGCCTTTTCTCTGTTACTTATTTCCTATTTATCCTGTAAACAGCATAGTTTTGTATATATAGCTTTGCATATATTTGTTAGCATGTTGTCTCTCCCATTAGATTGTAAGTTCCTTGAGGGAAAGGACTGTTTTTTTACCTTTTTTTTGGATCCCCACCATAGTAGGCACTTAATAAATGTTTACTGTCTGAACTTGGTGTCATTCTTGACTCCTCTCTCACTCACTTAACATATCCAATTTTTGACAAATCTTATTATTTCTATTTTCACGATCACTCATGTTTCCTTCTCTCTGTGCACAAAGCTAGCACCCCTGGTGCAAGCTCTCATCCCCCTGCACTCGGACTGTTCCAATAGCTTTTTGGTCTCCCTTCCTCAAGTCTCTTCCTACTCTAGTCTATCCTCCAGTCAACTGACAAAGTGATCCTTCCAAAAATGCAGATCTGACTATGTTACTTCCTTGCTCAGTAAACTCTATTGAGTTCCCTATTACCTACAGGATCAAATGTAAAATTCCTCTGTTTAGCTTTTGAAGTTTTACACAATCTGGCTCTTTCCAGTCTTCTTATACTTCATTTCCTGTTACATCCTCTATAATCCATGAACTGTTTTCCTTGCTGTCCTTTGCATGTGACACTCTCTTCTGACTGCCTTTTCATTGACTATTCCCATACCTGGAATGCTCTCCCTTTTTAACACCACCTCCTAGCTTCCTTCAACACTCACTGTAAATCCTAACTTTTGTAACTTCTACCCCACCATGCCCATTGCTAGTGTCTTCCTTCTAGGATTACTTCCCATTTACACTGAATAATATTTATTTCGTTCCTAGTTGTTTGCATGTTTTCTTCCCCTCCCCCCACCAGCATATGAGCTCCTTAAAGTAGCAAATGTATTTTTGCCATCCTTTGTATCCTCAGTGCTTATCAAAGTGTCTAGCACATAGAAATGCTAAATATAAGTGCTTACTGATTGATTGTATTTTCCCATCAGAAAATTCTTATTTGTTAACCATCAATGGAAACAGTTATTGCTATTATTCAGTAACTCAAAAGTATACCCTTTATTCTCTAGTACTGGTTTCTTGAATTAGTTTTATAGTGATTGTGAGATGATGCAAAGCATTTCACAGAATTTTACAGGTCTAGTAATCATCTAGTTCAACTCATACTTGAAAAGGAATCCCTACTACACAATACAAAGTTAAATGCAAAATACTATATATACAAAGTAATTTCTAGGGAAAGGGCACCAGCCTGGGAGGATCACAGACAACCTGTAAGAGGTGGCATTTGCACTAAACTTTGAAGGTTACTTGAGATTTTATACATGACTGACTTATCATGTCTCCCTGATGGACATGTGAAGTTGATCATTTTTGTACCTAAATGTAAAATTTTACATTTCTCCTTATTTAATGTTGTCTTATTAAATTAAGCCCAATGCTCTAGGCTATACTTTTGGTCAAGATCTTTTTAGATTCTGACTGTTATCCGGTGTGTTAGCTATCCCTCTCAGCTTTACATCACCTGCTAATTTGATGAGCATGTTACATGTTCCTTTACACAACACATTCCTTACTGAAGACTGAATTCTTAGGGGATGGTAATGATACAGAACAAGTAAATCAGGCATTTGACCTCATGTCTGTAGAGCCCAGAAACTGGGCTAAACTGGAGGCTAAAGTGGATTGTTTTACTTTCTTCCCAAACACTTCACAACAGCACAGAAAAATAATCCAACTCTCTGTCTTAATTAGCAAACAGTGATATGGGAGATGATGCATTAAAATTCCCCCATTCTATTGGGGTGGAGTGGGAATAAGCACTTATTAAACACCTACTACATGACAGGCACCATGCTAAGCACTTTATAAATATTATCTCATTAGATTTCTTAATCAGATAGTGTGATCCAGAAAGACCAAACAATGAATTTGAAGGGAAAGGGTGTTTTTTTCAAGAGTCTGGGAAGTGAGATGTGCCAGTGCTAGTCTTCTAAGCAACTCAGGTCTCTGCACAAGCATACCACATCCCTGTCAGAAGGAAGAAGGCAGGGTAGTATGGCCCAGAGCAAAAGAAGAATAGAGACTTCGTGTGATGAGTAGAGAATGGTCACTGACATGCAGTTGTTTTAGCAGGTGGGAGTCATATGCTACAGAATCGTGATGGGGAGTTATCAAACCATCATCAAGGGAGAAAAACAAGGAGAAGTGAAGCTACCAAAAGTGGAGCGATTCCTTCTTACTCCTAGAGAGGGGAGCAGGTTTTTCTCCCCAGTGGATCCTGCCCACCTGATCTACACACCATATCCCCTTGGCCAATTTCTAGGTGACAGAGACCAAGGAATAAAATTTGTTCTGGGGCTACTGACAGTCACCACAATTTATCTGGAAATATAATGTTTCAGATGTGGTCCGACAAGGGAAATAGAATACATTGGGCCTATCATTTCCCTAGAAATGGACATTGTGTTTCTCAATGCCATCTAATGTTAGCATTTTTGACTGACTTGTGACTCATAGTGAATTTATAATCTACTTAAAGAACCCAGATCTTTTTCAGATGAACTTCTGTATAAGTAGATCTATCTTGTACTTAGGAAGTTCATTAAATACCTACTGTATAAATTACAGTATTAGGTACTAAGATTATACTCTCTGCCTTCAAAGGGTTTGCAATCCAGTAGGGGGATGGGACACACATAAATTAACCTAATATAATCCAGAATGAGAATTACTTTAGGGCTAGTGGATTCTATAACCATGTGCTTAGATTTTGGTACAACCCCTTACTTTGTGGCTATTAACTCAGTTGTTTGCCCAGGTGTAAAACTCCTTCACCTGATACCTGTCTGTCTGCCCTATCATCCCTATCTAGATTAGCTATCCTGCTCATGCAATCCCAAATCAATTGTTTGCCCAGGTGTAAACTCTTTTACCTGATATCACTCTCTCTGTTCCATCATCCCTTTCTAGATTAGTCCTATCCTGCTGTAGTCCCTAGTCTAGTCATTCCCTGTCCCCCAATAAACAAATTCCTCTCATATTCTCAATCTCTTCCTCTTAATAATAACTGAAACATACCACATACTTTGATAACCTGTTTAATTTTAGCCATGTCTTTTTTCAGGACAGGAAAGAGAGTCAACAGACAACACTGTAATTTCAAAAGCTAAGCTAACAGTTGATTTGTTACCATCACTTGTCAAGGCCACTTTGGGGGACAAACTCTAAATTCTCCCATCCAATGCCAGCCTGGCAAATAGAAACAGTAGTCACTAAACATGTACCTTCATTGCCATCAGCTCCTGCATCAGCACAGCATTTTCTAGGTCTAGTCTCTGACTATCTCCTCGAGGCTTGACATCGTAACTAAGAGGATCAATATGGATGCTTTCCAACTCTAACATGGTCAGCTTGACAGCTGCCCTGTCATTCTTGAGCTGTTGAATATAATCCTTTAGCCTCTGCTCGTCTTCCTTGGTGAACTCCGTATCACAGCTACTAGCAGTGGAGCTGGTTGTGCTGGAAAAAAAAAAAATTATACGTGTCCTACACATATTTCCATGATTCAGTGTTGGTCACAATAGGATAGGAATAAGAAAATTAGATAGTAGCCAAAGGGTAGTGCACAATCTCTGCTAAATTTTCAGAGGTCCTAGTACTTCACCCTGATTCAGTGGATCACAAAGGAATATAAAGGAACCATGCAAGGAATATACTTCATTATTACAAAAACTGCAGGCGTTTCTATGAGCCAGGTGCTCAAAACCCATAGGGTCCAAAATCACTTGGAGATTTTCATCTATTTAAAATCAAATGTTTCTCACCTGGAGGTGGAGTTAGAGGGAATCTTCTTGGTTTTTAGAGTCGGCACACATATAGGGTGAATCTTCTCCAATAGTCATGTGTTATAGTAGGTCCCTAAGGCTCATCTAATTCTATCTACCTAGAATATTTCTGGTGACTCTCAAACCAATCTGAGGAGTTGGATAAATCATTTAGCACAACCAAAGAGCTTATGACTATCAAATACCCTAACCTATGCTTGATTGCCTATGTGCTAGGAGGCTCCAACAAATGCTGGAGCATCACTCTATAATCTGGTGCTAGGACACATTACATTATTACGTTACTACAATAATGGAAATAGAATTTTTAATAAGCATGTTTTCCCAATTTCCATCCTTTATTTGTTTTAAAAATAATAAGAATGACAGTGGACATTTATAGAGCACTTTAAGGTTTGCAAAGTGCTTGACAAATATTATCTCATTTCATCCTCACAATGACCCTGGGAGGTAGATGCTATTATTACACTCATTTTATGGAAGTTAGTGAGGTTAAGTGACTTGCCCACTCATACAGCTAGTTAAGGGACTGAGGTTGGATTTGAATTCAGATGCCCTTAACTCCAACGCTCTATTCACTGTGCCACCTAGTTGGACTCTAATAATTTTAAGTTCTATTGTATTTTCATAAATTACAAGTTATTTTATACTACTATACTTCTCTTGCTGGTCTGTCTCCTATGAGATCTTTGGTGGAGGGAATGAAAAGAAGTGGGGACAGGCCTATTTTGACAGGCAGGAAGACTCCCCTGAAGTAGCTGGTTGTTAGTGTTAGGAAAAATAGGGAGAAGGTTTGGAATAGAATTAGATGGGTGATTTCCAGGAGTAGGCTGAAGCCAGCTCATACCAGTGCCGGAGAACCACATTTTCAGTGTGAGCATTTACACTGCGGAAATCGGTGAACACTAGAAATCAGAGTTTGATTTATTGCTTTGTAAACTGTCTAGAGTCTAGACTGAATCCAAACTTTATAGAACAAATCCTCTTACTAAAAGGATTTATTCTGTAAAACTTGGACTCAGTCGAAAGGCCACACCCAAGGATTTAGAAGGCCACATGTGGCCTCTAGACTGCAGATTCCCCACTCCTGGTGTAGACCAAGGGTTGGCAAACTACAGCCCACAGACCAAATTCATACTGCTTTCTGTTTTGTTTGTTTTTTATGGTCCATAAGCTAAGAATGGTTTTTACATTTTAAAATAATGTTTTATCATAAAATATATCATTTAATCCTATCATTCCAAGATCTAGGATTATCACAGCCTTTTTTTTTTTTTAAAAGCCATGACCGACTCTTTGTTGGTCTCATCTGGGGTTTTCTTGGCAGGATACTGGAGTGGTTTTGCCATTTCCTTCTCTATTTCATTTTACAGATGAGAAAACTGAGGTGAACAGGGTTAAGTGACTTGCCCAGGGTCACACAACTAGTAAGTGTCTGAGGCCAGATTTGAACTCAGGTCTTCCTGACTCCAGGTCTGGCACTCTATACACTGTGCCAACAGTGTATATTAATTTATTTCCTCATTAATAAAATTTCAATATATCTCTCAATTAATTAAACTTAGAGTCCCTGTCAATGCAATTATTATTTGATATACCGGAGAAACCTTTCCCAATAGTAGTAACAGTGCTCGCTTGCTCTCTCTCTCTCTCTCTCTCTCTCTCTCTCTCTCTCTCTCTCTCATCACTTAATCTCCCAGGATTAACTAAATATTAAAGTTACTGAACATAAAATTTATCACTCAAAACATCATATAAAATAATTTCTCAAAAATTCTTTTTATTTTCTTTGCAACACAAATTCCATAGAGAAAGAAGGACCTCTCTCTCTCTCTCACTTTTTTTTTTTTTTTGGTCTTTCCTGTCTTTCATGTCATGACACGAAAAATCTCTTCAGTATCAAGCCTTCATTCAGTAATCTCTCCAGATTTATTTTTCCTCATAAAATTATCTTTATAATATTTCTTCTTAATGTTAGAGGTGAAAGGTAAGTCTAGACAATCACTCTACCCTACTTTAAAGTAAATGGCAAAATGCTCTACCTTGCTACCCTAACCTGTTAACTAGGTATGAACCCAAGGAGCCTAGGTACATCCTTTCAAAAAATCATGGAATTTAGACTGATAAAGTGGGGAAAGTCTTTCATCAATTTAGATGTCTTTGAAAACCACTGGATGAACTTGTGTGTCAAGGAACAGGGACTTTGTTTGAATTGGTTATGGTTAACAATATTGTCATACCCTGTGGGGCTTGTATAAAACCAGCAAGCTAGTTGAAATTGGAGGATCCTAATGAATGATGAGCCAGGAAAGAGGAAGTCCCTGAGAAAGGAATTATTTGGAAAGCTGGGAGAAGAACCTCAGCCCTTGCCTTAGTGTTCCTGGCTTGAATGAAGAGGCTTTCATGGACTTCAGAGGATTTTGATCTTTTACTCTCAGTGTCCTAGCAGTTTTCTAGGTACAGTTGATGGCAGTGTAAGAACAAATTGAATTCAATGAGGAAAAGCAGATTCAAAGTTCAACAAGACAGTCTGAGAGAAAAGCTACATCCTACCTAAGAGGAACATCTTGAAGACTTCAGCAAAAAGGACACCAAGGAGATGTGAATTACCACTTTGCAATATGTGCCCTTAAAGCCTGAATATACTTTTCCCTGGATTCTACAGGTACTGGTGGGAGACACAGACTTTTGGGGGGAAGTCAATCAATCAATAAATCAATATTTATTAAGTGCATACTACATGCCAGGCACTGTGCTACGAGCTGATGATCCAAAAAGAAGCAAAAGACAGTCCCTGCCCTCAGGGGCCTTGCTGCAAACAAATATATACAAAGCAAGTTATATGCAGGATAAATAGGAAATAATTAACAAAAGGAAGGTATTGGAATTAAGAGGGAATGGGGATGGAGACCTAAAAAGAATCCGAGTAGAGGAGGGAGAGCATTTCTGGCATTGGGGAGAGATGGAGAAGATGCCAGGAAGAGAGAGATACAGTGAGATACATTCACAGAACACCCAAGAGGCTAGTGTCACTGTATCAAAGCATACTTATCAGGGAGTAAAGCATAAAAAAGACTGGGAAGAGAAATGGGTTGTGAAGGGCTTTGAATGCCAAATAAATTTGCTCCTGGAGGCAAATGGAAGTCACTGGAGTTTATTAAGTGGGGGAGTAAGGAAGTGGTGGTGGTAGGGGGTGGATGGGTGACATGATCTGACTTTCAATTTTTGGAAAATGAGTGTAATGGCTGAATGCAGGATGGATTGATGTGGGGAGAGACTTGAGGCAGGAAGACCCACCAGCAGGTTTTTTCAGTAAGTAAGGCACGAGATGATTAGGGCCTGCACTGAAGTGGTGGCAGAGTCAAGGGAAATAAGGGGACACATTTAAGAGATGTTGCAAAAGTAAAATAAACAGACCTGGGCAATAGTTTGGATGAGACAGGGGTTTGTGGTGAGAGAATGAGGAATCCAGGATAACTCACAGGTTGTAAGCCTAAGGGACTGGGAGGATGGTGTTGCCCTCCACAGTAATACGGAGGGTAGGAGGAGGAGGAGAGGGTATAGTGGGAAAGAAAATGGGTTCTGTGTTGGGCAAGTCAAGAGTTTAGCTACAAAGGACAGAAGAGATATAGAATGATAGTGGGGATGGAAAGGTCAAGTGAGACTTTTTTTTAGGATGAAGGAGACATACGCATGTTTGTAGACAGTAGGAAATGATCCAATAGACAGGGAGGGTTTGAAAATAAGTGAAAGAAAAATTACAGAGGGAGCAATCTGTTGGAGGAGGTGGGATTGGAATGGGATTGAACAAGTAGAGGGATGAGCCTTAGTGAAGAGTAAGGCCACTTCATGATGGGAGACAAGGACAGAGGAGAGAGTGGCAGAAGTACCTGAGTGATAAATGAAAAAGAGGGGAGAGAAGGAAGTTCACAGAAAATGGCCTCAATTTTTCTGTAAAATATGAGGCAAGGTTCTCAGCTAAGAAAGCGAAGGGAAGCCATGGGAGATTTAGAGAAATATGAAAAGGTTTGGAAGAGCTACTATGGAGAGTGGGATACTAAATTGATAGGGGAGGTATAGTAGCAGTGAGTGAGGCCTCAGTTGAGCTTATGTAGCAAATCTGTAGTAGACTCAGTCAGAATAGCTGTGCAATTTTGTCCACTTTCGTTCAGTAGTACATGAATAGGAACAAAGGAAACAAATAGCAAGAGTAGCCTAATAACGAGGCATGGCTGGGCATAATCAGTAATATAAGGAGGCTCTGGATGAAAGGGGGGAGGATAGTGTAGAGCTGAATTGACCAGGGAGTCAAGATGGGGAGAAGATGAGAGACTGGTTAGTTCAGGGGAGACAGCTTGGGGGAGAATTGAGGAATTAAGGGATTGGAGGTTACAGTGAGGAGAGGTTATGTAAGGAAATGCAGGGGAGAGGGAGAAAGAGGGGGGAGGAGGGGAAAAAAACAATAGATCATGATCAGAAAAAGAGATTTCAGAATTCTTTAACATGGAGTAGCTAAATTTGTGGGTGATGGCAAGATCAAAGGCATAACCATCTTTTTATGTGATTGAGGTGGGGTGGAGGAGTAACTCATAGGTGATGAGCTACATAGGTCAAGAAAATGAGTAGTTAGGGTATTTGAGGGAGAATCAATATGTATGTTGAAGTCCCCTAGTA